TTTGGGTAGGTACCTATGAGGTAGTCTGATGGATGGGTGTTTGTGCTTGGTATTTTGTTTGCTAGATTTTTTCCTATGGTGAAGAAAACATTAAGTCTATTTGCTGTTTCTGTTGGAGTATGGGTTTATCTGATTTTCTTAGTTTGATTGTTTTGTTTTTGGATAACTTTTTGGTTCCAAGAATTTCAGATAGAGTTTTCAAGGTCTTTTTCATATCACCTTTGATGTTATGTAATCTATTTTCATAATACAATTTTTTTGACCTTCTTATCAGGCTGGTAAGTGCTGACGAGTAACTTTTCGACTGTTCTCTAGTTATTTGACCCATTCTATACTGTTTTTCATATTTGTGCTTTGTGTTAATGGATTTGAGGATGCTAGGTGTTAGCCAGGGATTATTCAGTCTCTTTGATGTGATCTGTTTAGTTTTTCTGGGGCAATGTCTGTTATAGAGGCATTGGGCTTTTTTTAGAAAATTATTTATACATTCATTAATATCTGTATATGTTTTGAGCTCATTTTGCCAATCAATGTTATTCATAGCTGCTATAAAGTTGTTAACTGCTGTCTCGTTATGTAGTTTGAAGGTTACTTTAGTAATGTCTTGTGGTAGTTTGCCTGGATTAGTTATGAGAAAGGTTGGGTAGTGGTCTGTAGTGTTGTCTGTGATTATGCCTGATTTTAACCCTTAAACGCTCCAAACAAATCAACGTTCAAATTCATAGTGCTACAAAAGTAGATCTACTTTTTTTAACATATTTTCAAATGAAACAAAAAAAAATGTCGATAAAAGTTTTTTTACACATTTTCAAATGTAAAACAAAAAAGATCTACATTTTTTTACGTACTTTCAGATGTTGAAAAAACGTATATATACGTTTGGATATGGTGTTTGTCCAGATGTGGTCTATTAACCCTTTCAGGGTTTCGGCCGTACTAGTACGGCTTACGACCCAGGGTTTTTGACGTACTAGTACGCCTAAATTCTAGCACCCTCAAATCTAACGAGAGAAAGCTGGTAGGCCTACATATGAAAGAATGGGTCTATGTGGTCAGTGTGCGCAGTATAAAAAAAATCCTGCAGCACAGTGCGTAATGAGAAAAAAAAATCTTTGATCGTGTTTTTGGATTAAAACAGCGACTTTGCACTGTATTTTCGTATGGTATTTATTGTTGTATTCTAGTTTTCCTGGTCTCATTTTATAGAATGGAAGACATATTACAGAAATTGAGATGATTTTTGACTGGTTTTGCAAGGAAAAGTACCTTGAAATTGAGCTCAAAGTAGCAGAAATCTTCGATTTTTACCAAATTTCAAAAGTAAACAAATCATGCTATGCGTCCAATACACATCAACTGGTGAATCTGATATTCTTTCACAAGTGCGCTGATATTATTTATACCATTTCTACACTAATGCAGTAGTCTGCATAACAGTAAATCTTCTATTTTTTTGTGAGAATAAAAATTCAAAGTGGAAAGCAAAAGAATGTAAGAGGGGCGTGGGGACGTGACTAATGAACAGAGCAAATGTTATTTTAGTGCCAGGAATGTCTTTCTTGTTTATTCTAGACCCTATTCGGAAATTGGCATCTTTTGAAATTTGTGTGAAATTGGCAAAATTGCTAAATTCTGACCACTGTATTTGATAGTTGAAATCGGTAAATAGGTGGTTTCTTGTACTCATTCGATAGAAAAAATGGAGTTCGAGCGAAATAGTTATGATTTTTGTCGACTAGTACACTGGAATTGGCCGAAAATAGGGCTCAAAGTGAGCAAAATCGCCGATGCGTAAACATCGTCGAGACCGCTAACTTCGTGAGAGCATAATTCCATAAGTTTTCCATCAAATTTCATACTTTTGGTGCCATAATGATTGGGAAAAGATTCTCTATCTTTTCATAAGAAAAAATTATTTTTTTTTTTTTAAATTTGGGCGACCCTGAGAACAAGTCTCAGAGGGCCTGTCGACCCTGAAAGGGTTAAAGAGATGCTTGTCTCGGAGATTCTTGTAGGTTTAAATATTGCTGGTAGCAACAGGCAGTTACTCATTGTGTTCGTGAATTCGGTTACTTGTGGGGTCCTGGTCGTGTAGTATGTTTATGTTGAAATCTCCTGTTAGTAGTAGGTGGTCTTTATTCATGTGTGCATCAGTAATCATGTTCCCTAGTTTTTCACTAAAGTGATAAATGTTTGACTGTGGTACTCTGTAGATGTTTATAACTGTGAGGGGTTTTTGCAGGTCTTTTGATTTAAATTTGGCTATGATATATTCTCCATGTTCGTCCTTTGTGCAAGATTTATTGATACATTCGAGTTGATTTGAGTAGTATATAGCTGTTCCTACCCCTTGCTGGTCTGTTCTACAGCTGTGTATGGCCATGTAGCCAGGAATGGTATAGAAATCTGTAATATCAGGCGGCTTATGCCAGGTTTCTGCGAGTGTGATGATTGATATATTGGAATGAAGGGAATTGAGTAACGCTGTGAGGTCATCATAATGTTTGCTCAAGGATCTGACATTGTAGTTAAAGATAGTTATGTTATTGTTAGCACTGAGTAATGTCTTTGTTTGGTCTGCTGTATAGTAATTACAGTTACTGGTTGATTCGTGTAATTCATTTTGTAAAAAGTTTACATCAGGATCTATGCCTGTAATCATAAGATGAGAGTAATTTTACAAACTAGATTTTCTGAGTAAAATGATAAAAGATTTATATTGAATCTACAACTAGACTTACGACTAAGACTCCGTGATTAATCTAAAACTCTTTCTACACATAGCTCAATTAAAGGGTCCCCATTTTCATTTACCCCTGGCACCCCAAATTTACCTACTACTCCCTCCACAACATTTTTACCCACTTTAGCACTGAAATCCCCAACCACAAGTGTACTCACACACTTGGTTCAAAACTCCCCACGCATTCACTCAACATTTCCCAAAATCTCTCTCTCTCTCTCCTCTACACTTCTCTCTTCTCCAGGTGCATATACGCTTACTATAACCCACTTTTCACATCCAACCTTTATTTTACTCCACATAATCCTTGAATTAATACATTTATAGTCCCTCTTTCCCTGCCATAGCTTATCCTTCAACATTATTGCTACTCCTTCTTTAGCTCTAACTCTATTTGAAACCCCTGACCTAATCCCATTTATTCCTCTCCACTGAAACTCTCCCACCCCCTTCAGCTTTGCTTCACTTAAAGCCAGGACATCCAGCTTCTTCTCATTCACTACATCCACAATCATCTCTTTCTTATCATCCGCACAACATCCAAGCACATTCAGACATCCCACTTTGACAATTTTCTTATTATTATTCTTTTTAGTAACTATTACAGGAAAAGGGGTTACTAGCCCATTGTTCCCGGCATTTTAGTTGACTTTTACAACACGCATGGCTTACGGAGGAAAGATTCTTATTCCACTTCCCCATGGATATAAAAGGAAAAGTAATAAGAACAAGGACTATTAACCCTTTCAGGGTCCGTCCCGTAGATCTACGGCTTTACGTTCAGGGTCCAAACCGTAGATCTACGTCATGAGCTCAGCTCACTCTGATAAACTGTGAGTGGTACATTTGGGCCTAGATATGAGAGAATACATCTATGTGGTATGTGTGCACCACATAAAACAAATCCTGCAGCACACTGTGTATAATGAGAGAAAAAAAAACCGAGACCATGATTTTCGATTAAAACAGCGACTTTGCAGTGTTTTTTCGTATGTTTTTTATAGTTGTATTTGTGATTTCTTGATCTCATTTGATAGAATGGAAGACATTTTACAGAAATAGAGATGATTTTGATTGGTTTTAGTACTGGAAATGGCTTGAAACCAAGCTCAAATTAGCGGAAATGTTAAATTTTTGCCGATGTTCAAGAGTAAACAAACGACCTCACACGTCTAATAAAATTTTGGTATATTAGCTGGTGGGTCTAATATACATTCACAAATGTGGTGATGATATTTATACAATTATTACAATATTGCATAACAGTAAATCTTCTATTTTTTGGTGTGAATAAAAATTCATTAGTGAATAAAAAATCAAAATGGAATTTATTTGTAAAGCCTCAAAACATAACTAATGAACAGAGGAAATGTTAGTTTAGTGCCAGGAATACCTACATTGTTTATTCTGGACCCTATTTTGAAATTGGAATATTTTGAACTTTGTGTTAAATTGGCCAAATTACCAATTTCCCATCACTTTATTTTGTAGTTGAAACAATTGACTTGTCAATTTCTTGTGCTCAATCGATAGAATAGAAGTAATACTAGTGAAATAGCTAAGAATTTGGTCAACTGGAATAATGTAATTGGCCTAAAATGGGAGTCAAAGTCGGCAAAATCGCCGATTCGTAAATATCGCGGACATCAAATTTCGCGAGAGCATAATTTCGTCAATTTTCCATCAAATTTTGCACTTTTTGTTTTATTACCTTCACAAAAAGATTCTCTACCATTTCATAAGAAAAAATAACAATTTTTTTTTTTTTTTTAAATTCTTGGACACTGGGGCACCACTTCAGATTTTGGCCTTGGACCCTGAAGGGGTTAAAATAAAATCAAAGAAAACTCAGATGAGCGTGTATAAATAAACATGTACGTGTATGTGTAGTGTGACCTAAGTGTAAGTAGAAGTAGCAAGACGTATCTGTAATCTTACATATTTATGAGACAGACAAAAGACACCAGCAATCCTACCATCATGTAAAACAATTACAGGCTTTCGTTTTACACTCACTTGGCAGGACGGTAGTACCTCCCTGGGTGGTTGCTGTCTACCAACCTACTACCTATATTATAATAATATATTATTATCATTATGAAAGCAAAAGCACTAAATCCACAGGAGTTATACAGCACCTGGGGCATTCAAGGAAGTGGAAGACAAGCCTAATTTCTTGAATGAAGATCTACTCACCAGCATCAATGAACCTCCCTGAAGGAATTACCGTTTACTGTATAAACATCGATTTGCTTACCTTTCTCACATTTCTCCGGAGTATTCCACCATCTCTTGGCTTGGGTCCACGGTAACTCTTAGGTTGAGTTGGCCATCGTATAGAGGGGCCTAAAAATGGTTCCTCACTTAGCTCATCTTCATCAAGTGAAGATTTGGAACAAGTGGCTAATTTAAATTTTATTCCCGATGGCCGCAACATGTTTTCTTGGTGTGTTGGTAATGAAGAAACACTTTGCTCATTTTCTGTATCTTTCACTTTGCTAGGTAAACATAAATTACTCACACATTTAGAAGAATTGTTGAAAACAGTGTTCGATTCATCAACAGAGGGCAAAGGTCTAGCTTCTAAAGTTAATGGTAAGGAGGAAGAAGTGGATATGGCAATGGATGGTGAGGTTGATGTGTTCAGCATATTGGCACAAGAATAGGTATTAGGTGTGGTCTGTATTAGCATGTTAAGCTTGCTCAGATCTTGGCACTCTTCAAGGTAAGGACTCGATCTGTTTGGTATCTGAGTCGGATACTTTTTGGGCCAAGAAGTTTTTCCTCTTGTATGTTTGATTCCACTGACTTTGAACTGAAATATAATTATTTGTTAATATTATGTTCATTACCTTTAAATATATAGGTTTTCAAGAATTTATACAAAAATACAAGTTATAAAATCATTACTACAAAATAAACATGTGCTCACATTGAAAATAAATAACAAATTATTACTAGATACTATTATGACAGTAGTACAATACAGTGACTCCTAGGTTATCAGCCGTTCCACTTATCAGCCAACTTGCTTATCAGCCAGTTTGTCGGCTTCCGGTTATCGGCCATTATTTCGCTTATCGGCCGTACTGGACGCTTATCGGCCGGCGACACTCACGTATTCCTAAGTCGGTGTAACTGTGTCGCTGGCCAAGTGAGGAAGCTTCTGCTCATTCATCCAAACATTTCACTATAAATCAGTGTTTTCTTTGTTATTGATTAAGTGCAACTGCGAAATAAGTAAGCATGACCCCAAAGAAAGTTCCTAGTAAAGTTCCTGTGGTAAAGAAAGTGAGAAACATGATGGAATTTAAGAGAGAAGTGATTGAAAAAATCTCAGAGTGGTATGCAAGCACTTGAACTTGCCAGGATGTATGGGAAAAACAAATCTACCATCACTTCCATCCTGGCAAAGAAAGAACAAATCAAGGAAGCTGATGTTGCAAAAGGAGTAAATGTGATAACTAAACAAAGGTCACCAATAATGGAAGATATGGAAAAGTTATTGTTGTGGATTAGGGAAAAACAATTAGCAGGAGATAGTGTTGTGGAGTTAGTGATTTGTGAGAAGGCAAAGCAGTTGTATGTGGCTCTTGAAAATAAAATGCCTGGAACAAGTACTGCTGTTAGTGAATTTAAGGCCAGCAAAGGCTGGTTTGAGAGATTTAAAAAGTGTAGTGGCATACATAGTGTGGTAAGACATGGAGAGGCTGCAAGTTCTGATATATGTGCAGCTGAAAAATTTGTGCAAGATTTCAAGGGGTACGTAGAGGCTAAAGGATTCCTCCCCCAACAAGTGTTCAATTGTGACAAAATAGGCCTGTTTTGGAAGAAAATACCAAAGAGGACCTACATTACGCAGGAGGAAAAGGCCCTGCCTGGACACAAGCCTATGAAAGACAGGCTTACTCTTTTGTTCTATGCTAACACTACTGGGGATTTCAAAGTGAAGCCTTTACTGGTGTATCACTCTGAAAATCTCAGTGTTCAAGAAACACAATGTTTTCAAGAGCAAATTGTGTGTGATGTGGAGGGCTAACAATAATGCATGGGTCACAAGGTAAATTTTCAGAGAGTGGGTGAATGATGTGTTTGGCCCGAGTGTTAAAAAATACCTCCTGGAACGTAAATTGCCACTTAAGTGCCTCCTGGTACTGGACAATGCTCCTGCTCATCCTCCAAACTTGGTGGACCTATTGTCTGTGGAATTCCGTTTCATCACAGTGAAGTTCTTGCCTCCTAACACTACTCCTCTCATCCAGCCCATGGACCAGCAGGTCATTTCTAACTTTAAAAAAATGTACACCAAAGCAGTGTTTCAAAAATGTTTTGAAGTGACCTCAGACACAGATTTGACCCTAAGAGAGTTCTGGAGGAATCACTTCAATATCCTCCACTGCATAAGCCTTATAGCTAAGGCTTGGAGGGGAGTGACTTCCAGGACTTTGAACTCAGCTTGGAGAAAATTGTGGCCAAATTGTGTCCAAAAGAGGGATTCTGAAGGGTTTGGGGCTGACCTGGAGGACCCTATGCCTGTTGTGGAATCTAATGTATCTCTGGGCAAGTCCATGGGGTTGGAGGTTATTGGTGAGGATGTGGAAGAGCTGGTGGAGGACCACAGGGAAGAGCTAACCACTTAAGAGCTGCAAGACCTTCATCTGGAACAGCAACAGACCACAGCTCAGGAACCTGCTTCAGAGGAGGAGGAGGAGGAAGTGAAGGAGGTGCCTTCTTCAGAGATAAAGAAAATTTGTGCAATGTGGACTAGGGTCCAAGCTTTTGCTGAGAAATATCACCCTGACCAAGCTGAAACAAGCTACATCTGCAACAGGTTCAGTGACAGAACCTTGTCCCACTTCAGGGAAATCTCAAAGAGATGCCAGAAACAGAGCTCTCTGGACAGATATTTTGTGCAACAGGGGTCCAGTGACTCTCAAGTTGGTCCTAGTGACATTAAAAGACAAAGAAGGGAAATAACCCCAGATAGGGCTTTGATACCTGAAGTCCTTATGAAGAGGGATTCCCCTCCCAAATAATAAACAACAACTGTCTTCAATAAAGATATGTAATACTGATTTAATTGTTCATGTATTTATTTTCTTTAGTTCTCATTGTTTTGTGTATGTAAAACTGTAATTAATCTCTAAAAAATGTATTTTTTGTGAATATTTTTGGGTGTTTGGAATGGACTAATTGTATTCACATTATTTCTTATGGGAATAATTATTTCGGTTATCGGCAATTTCGGTTTTGACCCTTTCAGGGTTTCCAATGTACTAGTACGGCTTACGCACCAGGGTTATTGACAGTCGGGAATTATACGCAGGAAGGAATACATATAAATGACCTCATAGAGGACAGGAGCCATAGTAGGGAAACAAGTGTAGTCAAAGATAAGATAAAACCAATATTGCAAACCAGAAATACCGCAGGAAATAGCAAACAAGAGGACTCCAATAGCAATAGTGAGGATAAATTACCAAAAACAACTGGTGGGAGCTCCATTGTTGGTGCTAAGGAGGATAGGAATAAGACAGGGAAACATGCACCAACAGGGAATACAGTCACAGAAACCCAAGGCAAACGGAAACCAAGCCTGTGGGACATACTATGCACTTGGTATCTGCTGGCATGGGAAATCTGGAAAAACAGATGGGACATGCAACTATGACCACCCTAGAAAATGTCATGCCCATATGACAACAGGAAAATGCAAACTCCCTTCCTGTAAGCTTTTTCACCCTGAAATGTGTACCTCTTCAGTACAGGAAAGACTGTGCTATAACTTAAATTGCCAGGCATACCATCTAAAGGGACAAAAAGATACAAAACATCCAGGCCATGGGAAAACCTGGGTAGCCACAGCCACTCAAGAGGGAGAGGTTTTTTAGTGCCAGGAAGGAAAAAAAACTGGCAGGAAATGGCAGAAATCGTACACCAAATCCAGTCATTCCTGGAGTGGAACCACAGTCGATGGCCTCCACTCCAAACCAACAGATACAGATACTAATGCCGGAAAAAAAAATCCCCCCCAGTACCAACAATACCACCAGTCCGATAACATTCTTCTTTGCAAATATACAGGGTCTAAAGCCAGCAATAAAAAAACAAAATACCTTTCATCCGTGGACTGCTTGCAGAGGCAAAGGCAATGTTCGCGGCTTTCACTGAGACCCACATAAAGGATCACTTGGACAACGAAATATGGATCCCAGGTTACAACCTATACAGATGTGACAGAGTGAACAGGCAAAAGGGGGGGGTTGGCCTGTACATTGCAGAGTCACTTGTTTGCACAGAACTGCTTAATGCCTCAAATGACGTAGTGGAAGTTTTAGCAGTAAAGGTCGAGAACCAAAACCTAGTCATTGTGGTAGTCTACAAGCCTCCGATGCAACATCCCAGCAATTCCAGGAACAGCTGTTAAAAATTGACCACTGTCTGGAAAATCTTCCAGCTCCTGCACCCAACATCTTGCTCCTGGGGGATTTCAACTTAAGGCACCTAAAATGGAGGAATATAGCAAATAATATTGTTGCAGTAATAACACCAGGAGGCAGCTCTGATGAAACTCACACTCACACGAGCTTTTAAATCTCTGCACAAAATTCCAATTTAAACCAGCAAATAATAGAGCCTACTAGACTGGAGAATACACTAGACCTCATCTTCACTAACAATGATGATCTGATAAGAAATGTCACCATATCAAAAACAATATACTCAGATCACAACATAATTGAGGTTCAGACATGTATGCGTGGAGCCTCAGACCGACAAAATGAGACTAGTCACGAGGGAGCATTCACCAAATACAACTTCAATAACAAAAACATAAAGTGGGACCAAGTAAACCAAGTCCTAACCGATATAAGCTGGGAAGATATACTAAGCAACACAGACCCAAACTTATGCCTAGAACAGATTAACTCGGTGGCACTCGATGTATGCACAAGGCTTATTCCTCTAAGAAAAAGGAGGAGTAGATGTAAAATAGAAAGAGACAGGCGCTCCCTTTACAGGCGACAGAAAAGAATAACAGAGCGGCTAAAAGAGGTCAATATATCAGAAATGCGCAGGGAGACACTGGTCAGAGAAATAGCAAGCATCGAACTTAAGCTAAAAGAATCCTTTAGGAGTCAGGAATCGCGGGAAGAACTAAAAGCCATAAATGAAATCGAAAGAAACCCAAAGTATTTCTTCTCCTATGCCAAATCAAAATCGAGAACAACGTCCAGTATTGGGCCCCTACTTAAACAAGATGGGTCCTACACAGATGACAGCAAGGAAATGAGTGAGCTACTCAAGTCCCAATATGACTCAGTTTTTAGCAAGCCGCTAACCAGACTGAGAGTCGAAGATCAAAATGAATTTTTTATGAGAGAGCCACAAAATTTGATTAACACAAGCCTATCCGATGTTATCCTGACGCCAAATGACTTCGACCAGGCGATAAATGACATGCCCATGCACTCTGCCCCAGGGCCAGACTCATGGAACTCTGTGTTCATCAAGAACTGCAAGAAGCCCCTATCACGAGCCTTTTCCATCCTATGGAGAGGGAGCATGGACACGGGGGTCGTCCCTCAGTTACTAAAAACAACAGACATAGCCCCACTCCACAAAGGGGGCAGTAAAGCAACAGCAAAGAACTACAGACCAATAGCACTAACATCCCATATCATAAAAATCTTTGAAAGGGTCCTAAGAAGCAAGATCACCACCCATCTAGAAACCCATCAGTTACACAACCCAGGGCAACATGGGTTTAGAACAGGTCGCTCCTGTCTGTCTCAACTACTGGATCACTACGACAAGGTCCTAAATGCACTAGAAGACAAAAAGAATGCAGATGTAATATATACAGACTTTGCAAAAGCCTTCGACAAGTGTGACCATGGCGTAATAGCGCACAAAATGCGCGCTAAAGGAATAACAGGAAAAGTTGGTCGATGGATCTATAATTTCCTCACTAACAGAACACAGAGAGTAGTCGTCAACAGAGTAAAGTCCGAGGCAGCTACGGTGAAAAGCTCTGTTCCACAAGGCACAGTACTAGCTCCCATCTTGTTCCTCATCCTCATATCCGACATAGACAAGGATGTCAGCCACAGCACCGTGTCTTCCTTTGCAGATGACACCCGAATCTGCATGACAGTGTCTTCCATTGCAGACACTGCAAGGCTCCAGGCGGACATCAACCAAATCTTTCAGTGGGCTGCAGAAAACAATATGAAGTTCAACGATGAGAAATTTCAATTACTCAGATATGGTAAACATGAGGAAATTAAATCTTCATCAGAGTACAAAACAAATTCTGGCCACAAAATAGAGCGAAACACCAACGTCAAAGACCTGGGAGTGATTATGTCGGAGGATCTCACCTTCAAGGACCATAACATTGTATCAATCGCATCTGCTAGAAAAATGACAGGATGGATAATGAGAACCTTCAAAACTAGGGAGGCCAAGCCCATGATGACACTCTTCAGGTCACTTGTTCTATCTAGGCTGGAATATTGCTGCACTCTAACAGCACCTTTCAAGGCAGGTGAAATTGCCGACCTAGAAAATGTACAGAGAACTTTCACGGCGCGCATAACGGAGATAAAACACCTCAATTACTGGGAGCGCTTGAGGTTTCTAAACCTGTATTCCCTGGAACGCAGGAGGGAGAGATACATGATTATATACACCTGGAAAATCCTAGAGGGACTAGTACCGAACTTGCACACGAAAATCACTCACTACGAAAGCAAAAGACTTGGCAGACGATGCACCATTCCCCCAATGAAAAGCAGGGGTGTCACTAGCACGTTAAGAGACCATACAATAAGTGTCAGGGGACCGAGACTGTTCAACTGCCTCCCAGCACACATAAGGGGGATTACCAACAGACCCCTGGCAGTCTTCAAGCTGGCACTGGACAAGCACCTAAAGGCAGTTCCTGATCAGCCGGGCTGTGGCTCGTACGTTGGTTTGCGTGCAGCCAGCAGCAACAGCCTGGTTGATCAGGCGCTGATCCACCAGGAGGCCTGGTCACAGACCGGGCCGCGGGGGCGTTGACCCCCGAAACTCTCTCCAGGTCCAGGTATACTAGTATGCCTAAATTCTAGCGCCTTCAAATCTAGTGAGAGAAAGCTGGTAGGCCTACATATGAAAGAATGGGTCTATGTGGTCAGTGTGCACAGTATAAAAAAAATCCTGCAGCACACAGTGCATAATGAGAAAAAAAAAAAACTCCGACTGTGTTTTTGGTTTAAAACAGCGAATTTGCAGTGTATTTTCATATGGTATTTATGGTTGTATTTTAGTTTTCTTGGTCTCATTTTACAGAATGGAAGACATATTACAGAAATTGAGATGATTCTGATTGGTTTCATAATGAAAAGTACCTTGAAATTGAGCTCAAAGTAGCAGAAATCTTCGATTTTTACCAAAGTTCAAAAGTAAACAAATCATGCCAAGCGTCCAATACACGTCAACTGGTGAGTCTAATATTCTTTCACAAGTGCGCTGATATTATTTATACCATTTCTACACTAATGCAGTAGTCTGCATAACAGTAAATCTTCCATTTTTTTTGTGAGAATAAAAATTCAAAGTGGAAAGCAAAAGAGATGTAAGAGGGGCCTGGGGACATGACTAATGAACAGAGAAATGTTATTTTAGTGCCAGGAATGTCTGTTTTGTTTATTCTGGACCCTGTATGGAAATTGGCATCTTCTGAAATTTGTGTGAAATTGGCAAAATTGCCAATTTCTGACCACTTTATTGGATAGTTGAAATCGGTAAATGGGTGGTTTCTTGCACCCATTCGATAGAAAAAAATGGAGTTCTAGCAAAATAGATATGATTTTTGTCAACTAGTACACTGGAATTGGCCAAAAATAGGGCTCAAAGTGGACGAAATCGCCGATGCGTAAACATCATCGAGACTGCTAACTTCGTGAGAGCATAATTCCGTAAGTTTCCCATCAAATTTCATACTTTTGGTGGCATAATGAGCGGGAAAAGATCCCCTATCATTTCATAAGAAAAAATAATTTTTTTTTTTCCTAAAAACTTTTGACCCTGAGAACGTGTTTAGGAGAGGGCCTCTCGACCCTAAAATGGTTAAACTGGCCTTCTGAAATGGATTACGGCCGATAACCGAGGGTCCACTGTATTCTCTTATAGTGTTAAATCCGTGCGAGATATTCAATGCAAGAAGGGGTGGAGGCTTGATTTCCTAGATAACTGAGGCAGCAAGGAATAGTGGACTGAGAAAGGCCACAGTGAACTGCAGAGCTGCATGAGGAATTCCCAGATAGCCAAACTGTCAACAATGTCAGCACTACTGCAAAGTGGATAACAGCTCCATCGCCTTCAACTGGTTATCTGCCCGATAGACCATCGAAGGGAGAGTGCCAGTCACTTGTTACAGTCACACCACTTGGATATTTATAATAACCACAAGGGGTTGAACAAATGTTTCCACTCTGGAGACAGGAAAGTCTTGAAATCTATGGATGTCTCCCAAATGCTTCTCAAACAATTGTGCAAGGAAGACCATCCTTGGAAGGAAAATTCCCACCTGTTAACACAATTCATTTGGGCAATGTGGCTGATGGTCACAGGTGTGCAAATTACCATTTTGAGCTTTAAAGAGTGTATCAGTTTATAAAATATTCTAAACCTGCACAATCTGAATTTTGTTGCACACTACATGTAAATTAATCCCACGACCAACTGACAAGAAGTGTATCACACAGTTTAATATCATTAAACACTGCACCAGTTGTTCTTGAGTGGAATGCAAGAAACTGCCTCCAAGAGTTCCAGTGGAAGTAAAACCTAAGGGTAGTGGAGCTCACTTAGTGGGCTTACAGTGAGTTTCACAAGATGTGGCTGAGGACTAGTTGATAGACTGGACCAATCAAGTGCAGCAGATTCTCCTAGAGAACCTAACACTCCTTGAGAATTTTCTCTAGGGATAATTGATGAGGATCTTCCAGAATGAGAAGATTACAGGCCTGACCACCTGGCTAATGAGCCCCAGGATGAATATAAGGTATCATAAAAAAGATAGCAGTTTCATCTCCCCATCCACCCTGGAACCCAACATGGGAAGGCACTATATGTGTACTTATATAATTAATGGAGAGGCAAAGACATGAGTAACCACACAAGGGTCAGGAAGCAGTACAGGACATAAAGGATGTGAACTACCTAGTGCTTGCATGATGCTAGCCAAATACACTGCTACACCACAACCTGGATTTACAGAGCAAGCTGTGATCCTACCTCAGCTCAGTTCAAAGCCCAGACTTATGTAAGGCATACTATCACCCTCTTATATGTGTATGTCACCCATAACTTCCAGCTAACAACAAGGCAGCTATCTACTGTTAGATGAACAGGGGCAACAAGTGAATGAAGACATCCCCACAAATCTTGCCCCCACCTGCATATCAAACCTGGGGTCTCAATTATAAGGCAAGCACTGAGCTACAGATTTCAACATACAAGAATGTACGAAAAATCTAAAAGTATCCTAGTACTGTACATATAATCAAGTGGGAAATTCCAAAAATAAAAGAAAAAAAAGAGGAATACAAATTGAGAAGTAAGAAAATTGGAAACAATATAGGATTTTCATAGAGAACATTGTAAAAGACCACTAAATGATACCAAAGCGTAGGTGTAAACTAAGAAAATAAACAGCAATGGCCCTTTCTTGCCCCTCATTGTGAATTTATCTTTAATAACAAGTGAGAAATGTGATTTTACAACTTAAAATCAACATTGCACATGAAATCACGTCTGTCAACAAACCAGAGCATCATCTGACGTGGGTGCATCCTGGGTGATGGGAAACAGATGGACATCATTATTCAGCAGCAGCAATGTCTCTCCTCCCGTCATGGCCCCATCCCCCACTACCCCTGACCCTTCAAGCAAGACAGTCTCATCACCAGTGTCACCATCCTGGAGTTCCAGCTTTAAGGTGTTGCCCACCAACCATACAGCTTCATCCCTGCATAAGACGAAATACAGATATTTTCATCATCAATGAGCACCAAAGAAGTAACTATAATCCATGTGAATACCATCAATCAGATTCATTATGACTACATAGAGTTGCCCACTTAATACTGTAGTACTCGCTTTGTATTATAATCTACCCATATATCACTCATAGTGTTGTGTTTAGGCATCTAAAACATATTACTTGTCATTTTACTTACCACTGCTTTGTACTAAATTTAAAAGCTTAAACAGCACTGCAACCATGTATTTCATAGCTTAAGTCTGAGTTCAAATATACCCAAAATGATGTGCATACAACAGACTTCTTGTAAAATCTGTATCATCTGTACTGTACTTTTTTCTTTTAACACGACAGCTGTCATCCACTAAGGCAAGGTGACCAAAGAAAGAAAGAGGAAACACATTCATTCACTGTCATTCATTCACTGTCATTCATTCAAATGCTGTCTTATAACAAGTGCAACACTTGTTGCACAGGCATTGCAAATGTGTCTCATCTATCTACGTGCCAGTTTTGTACACCATTAATTTAATAATACTGTACCTGTCTTGACAGCAACATTTTGTAATCTTGGTACAAAGAATTCTTCAACAACTCCAACATTTGCATAACCCATTTCCATTATTGGGCACTGCCCACATGTGATGTCATCTCCAACTGTCTTCAGCATACAAGTCTCTATCCTCATATATCTGCTTTAAGGGATTAAACACTTCCTATCAAGATTGAAAGACTGATCATTTCAGATTACCTCTTCACATCTTTCACCATTTATTCTCTATATTGGACTGATGAAGCCGTTGGTTGACAAAATATTTCTACAATAAAGATAGCAAAGTGTTCAACATGTGTCTTATTCATCTACTTATCAAACTTTCATACCATCAGTAAAATAATATTACTGCATATTTAACATATTTAGCTGCTTATTTGATTTGTTTATTATCAATATTGGGTCTTAATTTGTCAACATTCAGGATGATACCTTTCATAGTTCATCATTAACCATGTTACAGAGTTCGGCTGGATCTATGTTGGAGATAAGGAGAGTACTGTGGCGTCGTTCACAAATAAAACCGGTTTAAGTCATTATTGTGATATGTTTGGCAGGTCATTAATATAAAGAAGAAATAAAAGTCATCCTAGTTCAATGTTTTGCTGTACCCCAATGTTAGTGGATTGAGTAGATGAAGAGAGTTGTTTGTAGTCACATACTGGAGCTTATTTTTGAGGTGGAACCTTATGTAAACAAATGCATGGCTTCTTATTCTATAGTGCTTCAGTTTATGGAGTAGTATGGTGTAGTCTATTGTGTAAAAAGCTTTACTTAGATCAATAAAAAGACCTACTGGATATTCATTGTAGATAAGATCAAGCATTTATTTTATTGCATCATATGTGGTTTTTTGGGACATGAAACCTAAGTGACAAGGGGCTAATATACTTGGTTGTTTTATTATGAACTCATATGTTCATATTTAATATTTTTTCAAAAATTTTTGATAGTAACAGTAAACCGAAGAGTGGCCTAAAGTTAATGACTTCAAATGTAATCCTAGTGACTTTTAGGATATTAGGGAATGTTTTGGTTTCTATAGATTTATTAAACATTTCAATAATTAGTAATGTCTACGAAGTGTTATCAAAAAATTTCTTGGACTCAAATTTTTTGAGCACTTCCTGGGTGAAATACTGGCCCAGCATAGGCCAGTAGGCCTACTAGCCCATGCTAGTGTCTGGAATACTGTTATCCTTTTCCTCAAATTACGCCATTCTTTAAGGAAAATTTGGATCAATACCGGAGTATACCTGGAGGGGTCCCTTTTCGGGGTCAACGCCCCTGCAGCCCGGTCCCGTGAACCAGGCCTCTTCACGTTTATTTCGAATGTTTTAATCTGTGGGCTGTTTTCCTTGAACAATAACTGGTCCATCACGTGCACTGATGAATATTGTCATAGGACAGTTTGTTAAGACGAAATTAAATTGTTATAAGTTTGTGGACACATGTACTCACTGGTCATCCTGTGGTGATGGGAGGATGGAGATCAAGGAGTGGCCGAGAGACTTGGAGCCCCTGGAACCCACTGCGAAGCCCCTGAGGCCCTGCTGTGTTGCGTTCCGGTTGCTCCTGTTGTTTGCTGCTCCGTTGGAGACCAAGTTCCCCTCCTCCTCAAGCAACAGTAACACCAACAGTGGTTTATGGGCGCCCTCCAGGCTCCTACCAGGTGGAGTGGAGTGCCCTCGAAAGCCCTCCATACTGGCAGGGAGGAAGCCTCCTTAAACCTCCCGCTTCCTCACAACCTCCTTGAGGGATTAAATCAGCTCTTCTTCCCACCCGAAGAGGCAGAGCAGGTCGGGGAAGGGAGGGAGGGATGGAGCACCAGCTCCTCGCTGTTTTTCAGTGGTAATATTAGCAAGCAGGTCCTCGGGGCCTCCAGTAATGATGGATCTGTTGGTATAAAGCATCAGGGTAGAGGGAGGGAGATAGATCTAGACTAGTTTATGGAGAATAAGGTGGTGTGGGGGGGGGGGGACACGCAAGCCGGGGGAGGCTCACTGCTCTCATCAACCAAAACAAAAACAAACTGGGACTCTCCCCTGCTCTTTATTCTCGCTAACTACCACTTGAGGACTCGCTAACTACCGCTTGCTCTAGCTAAATAACACTCGAGAACTCGCTGACTATCACTTGTTCTCGTTTCCTACCGCTTGTGGTCTTATTAATTACTGTTTATTCTCGCTAGCTACTACTTGTGATCTCAATAACTACAGCTTATTCTCGCTAACTAACGCTAGAGGCCTTACTAACTGCCTCTTGTTCTCGCTAACTAACACTTTAGGACTCGCTGACTGCCGCTTGTTTTCATTAGCTACCTATTGAGAACCGCTAACTACTGCAAATCATCGCTAACTAACGCTCGAGTCCTCGCTAACTACCTTTTATTTTTTGGACTCGCTGGCTATCACTTGTTGCTGTTTACTGCCGCTTGAGAACTTGCTAACCACACCTTATTCTCGCTAACTGCCGCTTATTCTCGCTAATTATTTATTTTTAATAACTACTCTTGCTATCTACCCCTTAACACAGACTCTGATAAGTTTCAAACATACTATACCAATAAAGGGGTAACCCCAAACAGTTGTCAACTAGTAAGTGTATCTCATGACTTCATTCAAAAAGAACTAAGCAGGTTAAACTCCAACTAAGAGCACAGGCCCTGATAACATCCCGTCTAAGGTTCCTAAAACATGGTGCTTTTTGAACTGTCAATCCCTATTGCTCCTCACATAATAAATCTATCAATCCAACACCTAATACCGTACCAGAGGGGTTCAGCGGCAGAGTAACCACCTATCTTCAAAGAAAAATAATAGTTCTGATGTAAGGCAACTATAGACCTGTTAGTAACTCAGTTATAATATCTAAAATTCGGAGAGGCGGTTATTCTCAAGTAAGTTAAGTACCTTAATGACAACAGCATTCACTCCATAGCTATCAACGGTCTTTAGAAGATATCCTACTCAACCGATACCTCCCTTATTACTCTGATGGATTACCTGAAACTGAAATGTCAAAAGGGAACCTCATAGGTATGGTAACCTTAGACCTGCAAAAGGCCTTCGATACTGTCAACCACAATATATTATGTAATAAACTTCAAACTATCGGTATAGGTTCTGTAGACTGGTTTAAGTCCTACCTTAGCAACAGGAGACAAATAGTCAAAATCAACAAAACAGAATCAGAACCCCTGCCGATAACATGTGGAGTTCCCCAAGGTAGTATTCTGGGTCCCTTACTATTCTTATGTTATGTCAATGATATGCCTATCAGTGTCAAGTGCAAAACTCCTACTGTATGCAGATGACAGTGCTCTGTTAGTGACAGGTAAAACCCACAAGATATTGCTAATGTTTTAACACTGGAACTGGAGTCCTGCAGCAAATGGTTAGTAGACAACAAACTATCATTACACCTAGGGAAAACTGAAGCCATTCTCTTTGGAACGAAACATAAACTGAGAAGGGTAAATAATTTTAATGTTCAGTGTAATGGGGAGTCCATCACTTTGGTTCAGCAGTTAAATATCTGGGAATCCCCTTTGACCATGCATGTCAGGAGAATTGATAGGGAACAGTGTAGTAAAGAAAGCGAATGCCAGGCTGAAGTTCCTGTATAGACAAGCACGGTGTCTACCTACTGAGGCTCGCAGGACCCTATGTCTAGCCCTTATACAATGCCACATGGATTACGCTTGCTCTTCTTGGTACTCTGCCTTGACAAAAAACTGAAAGATAGACTGCAAATCACCCAGAACAAAATCGTAAGATTCATCCTGGGGCTGGGACCAAGAGAACATGTAGGCCAGGATGAATTACAGCAGTTGGTAAGCTGAATGTTGAAGACAGAGTAAAACAACTGAAGCTAAATCATGTTTATAAAATTGCTCACGAACAGTGTCCAGAATATCTTGCTGTCAATTTTGTCAAGGTTGGGAACCAAAGCAATCATAGTACTAGGGGGAGAGAGCACAACTTTGTAGTACCCACAGTCAGTGGCCAGGCTTCAAACACCTTTTATTGTACAGCAATAAAGGAATGGAACAGACTACCCACAAATGTCAAGGCCAGTCATAGCTTGAACCAGTTCAAGAAGACTGCCAAAAGGTGTCTGATGAACGAAGCAACAGAAAGGGAGGGGAATGATTTTCTATTTTTTAGCTAAAATACGTGTAAATTTTACCTTATCCCTAGTAATGACCCTCGTATTGTAGATAGTCGTAATGACCTTCGGGTAGTAGATAGTCTTAATGACCCTCGTATTGTAGATAGTCTTAATGACCCTCGTGTAGTAGATAGTCTTTTTAGTATGATAATAAGATGTTATCTTCATTATAGAATAATAAGAAAATATTATAACCTTTATATTATAATAATAAGGTAAAAGGACCCCAATGGAAATAAGTCACTCTGTCTGACTTTTTTGGGTTATCCTAGGTTCT